GTCGTTTAGGTCATCTTTCTTTTGAGTCGTTAAAAGTTATGTTCCCAAAGTTGTTTGAGTCCTTGTCAGTGAGTCAGTTACAGTGTCAAACTTGTCAGTTGAGTAAGCRTTGTARAARTTHTTTACCTTTACGAAATAAAAGATCTGAATTTCCATTTCATATTGTTTATTCTGATGTTTGGGGCCCTGTTACTTTGATTGATGATTATTCTTGATACACTTGGGTTTATCCTATGCGATCTCGCGATGAAGTGCCACAAATTGTGAAAGATTTTCAACGCATGGTGTTCACTCAGTTCCAAACGGAAATTCATATCTTCCAGTCGGACAATGCAAAKGAATATTTCCATAGTGATCTCACGAAGTTCTTTGCTTCGAGTGGGTCACTTCAGCGAAGCTCTTGTGCCAGGACACCCCAACAAAATGGTGTGGTTGAACGAAAAAAACCGTCACCTTCTCGAAGTTGCTCGTGGCTTACTGATTCATATGAATGTGCCAAAACAGTTTTGGATGGATGCAATATTATGTGCGGCATATATCATCAATCGCATGCCCTCTCGGCTACTAGAGTATAAGGCCCCACATCAGCTCTTGTTCYCTACAGCCCCGCTGTCCACCATTCCGATGCGTGTTTTTGGGTGTCGTTGTTTTGTCCACAACCTRTCACCTACTYGTGGTAAACTTGACCCTCGGGCTATTCCTTGTGTTTTTCTTGGTTACCCTTCATCTCAAAAGGGGTATTGTTGCTATGATCCCATTGCCCGCAAGTACTATGTTTCCATTGATGTCTCATTCTTTGAGAGTCAACCGTTCTTCTCGGTTTCTYCTCAGGGGGAGAGTAGGGTTGAGGAGAAACAGGCGACGACTCAGATTCAACTACCTCCTTTACCCGATCCTCTTCCGTTCCGGGTTTTTCATCGTCGCCATAAGCCAACAGAGTTCAAGAGCCATGGAGCCGAACACTATGCAACCAACATCATCGGATTCACCCGAGGCAGATCCATCTCATCAGCCAGGTACACTTGCTCCCATTGCTCCTTTAAATGTTGATTCMCYYRYCMCCAATGATCTTAATATTCCTATTGCTAAGAGAAAGGGTGTTAGATCTTGTACCACTAATCATCCTATCTCTAA